CATGGCAAAGAGCTGGGAAGGGGGCCTGAGATGAAACAAAAGAGGCAACTCTGCTGCATGGGATGCTTGTTTGCTCCAGTGGAAATTTCTTAAGGAATAAAACCCCTTCCCCGCACAGCAGGGCAATTTCACTGACCTAATTTCCTGCCACTCTTCCTTCTCCTCTGATAATGGGCAAGCGTGTTGGTTTCCTCCTCCTACAATTAAATAAATAAAGCATAAAATTAATGTGAGTGTTTAATGCAAAAAGCCTGCAGAAGGAGAGCTGCTTTGGACTGGAGAACTTGGCAAACACAAGGTGATGTGGTTACATGATTGTTTCTGCCACTACTGTCCTGCAACTTCCCAGCTTGGTGCATCTAACTATTCTGAGAGCATCCCTCAAGTTCTAGCTGCCAGGCAGCACTGGGGAGCTGGGAAAGAGGGCAAGCTGCCTCTGCATCGCCTCCTTCCTTCCCTAGCTCAGCAGGTCAAAGAAAGCGTTAGCAGGAGAGTTGGGTTATCAGCTCTTGGCCATCATTCCACACGGTCTGGCCCCTGCTGGCTCTTGGTGGGACACCTCCAGCACAGCTGTAATAAAATTTGGTGCCTTGTGTGGGCTGAGGGGTGGAATTAAGGCCATGTGCTCACAGCGGGAATGGGTGGTTGCGGTGCCGGGAGGCTGCGGGTGGCCCCGTGGGCGGTACCATGGACAGAGTACCACCGGTCACGCGTGTCCGCACACACGCGGTGTCTTGTTTGCTGAGCACGAATCCGCCATGAAAAGGCAAATAAAAGGGGAAAAAAAAAATCTAAAAATATCCTAGCCCAGCACATGGGCATGAGCTGAGATTGGTACTTGCAAAGTCCTGGGGAAATCATGTCAGCATCTGAATCTGGTTTGAATCTTCTTGGGTCTTTCTAATATGGAGCAATCCAACAGTGACATTTTCTTGAGCTGTCACCACTTTGGGCTGGGTGTGGAGCTGAGCTACCTGGATGTACCCAAGAGACGAGGAATTTACAGCTTTTGTCTGGCTGTTGATCAGTGGAGAAGTGATAACACTAGTTTTTGGTGTTGTTTTTTTTTTTTAATCTGGATATAAGTTATCACTCTTTTCCTCTCTCCTTCTCCCCACTGTACATTATTAAGTGCTCAGCTCTGGACCGTTCTTCCCTGCATTTGCCTTATGTGTAATTTACAGTATTTAAAGTAAAGTAAAATCCAAGGCAATTCTGGATAAAAAAGCAGTTGCTTGAAATTTTAACACATAATATAAACTTTTCCCTCAATGTGGGATTTCCTTTTCATAACCAAGTGCTGTCACTATCATTGCTTTAAATCTGGCCAGAATCTTCATAACTTTATATACTTTTTTCGTAACTGTGACCGGCTTAAAAGTCAGTGTGATGACGGTAAAGAACAAATTGAAAGTGTTTTTTCATCTTTTTTTCATTCATTGTTTAAATTTTCATACCCCTGAATAATGGAACTGGTTCCATTCACAAGGCTATTTTATCATTATATATTCCCCCACAAAATGAGTGCTCAGCCTGGGAATTATTTTAGGAAGATTACTTTTAATAAGATCCATACAGTCATAAAATATAATCAAAATATATTAACTCTTCTTTAGTCCTTTGCTTTAGGCTGGAATTCTCTCTGCCCTTTCATGCCTGGAAAATGAAAAAGATGTTCAACTTATTCCCACAAGGGAAAAAGGGGTTTGCTTCAGGGGGTTTCTTTCTTGCACTGTGTTTTTTAGATCCCTTTTAAAAATGTCAAGCTGGAGCCCATTCAGTGGGTAAGATATTGAAATAATGAGGATATCCCTCCAACACAGCAGGGAAGGTGCTACAGAGCTTTTCAGCAGTATGCGCAGTGGAGATGGAAGTGGCATATAAAACTCTTCTCCCAGTTTTTTTCCAAAAGAAAATGCACAGAGAGTCCACTAGAGGGTACAGCTCAGAGATGTGCAGCCGAGCGCGCAGCCGCTGCATCCAGTCTGGATGCGCTCGGCTTGGCAGGTGGAGCGGAGCCTTTGCCGCTCCTGGCTGGATGCCGCTTGAACCCCATCTCCAGGTCAGAAACCACCTGCAGCTGGAGGAAAGGAAGAGACCGGTTGGGAAATTTATCCTAATGAATAACGGATCATTATAAAGGGGTCAATTGCTCTTTGGTTCGTATTGATTAGATACTCCTGGAAGAAGGATGTTTACGGGAACCTACCGTCTGCTCCTTCTGGTTGTGTTCATCTCTTCTCCCTGCTCGTTCCTTCAGCTGGTTAGAAAGTTCTCTAGTCTTTTAAAACTTCAGCTATGAAGACCTAGCTTTGTTTTAGTTTTGACCATTTTTCTTACAAACCAGGAAAAAAAAAAGAAAAAAGCATAAAATCATCTGGAGCCTTTGGAATTACTGCTGGCTTGTGTTGCACTCAACAAGTCAGCAATTATAGCCTGAAATATTGAGTGGCAGGAAAATTGATGTCTTAGCTCGGCACTTTTTTTTTTTTTTTTTTTTTTTTTTTTTTTTTTTTTTTTTTTTTTTTTTTTTTTTTTTTTTTTTTTGAAAGCACAGAAATCTATGAAATAGACCTTTCTGTGGCAGGCTGAGGGCTAACACAATCTAATGTGATTACAAGGCAGGGGGTACTCAGGGTCATTGTGGATCGCAAATGAGTGACGGCAATAAACTACTTATTGGCCCATTCGTTTCTTTTTTAGCACCTTTGCCAAGACCAAATGCAGGAGAGGATCAGAAGGGGGGAGACTTTTATGGGATCACAGAAGGGAGCTGTCAGAGGCCCTCAGGAATAACATTTTGGGCAAGAAAATCCTATTGTAGTTCAATCTTAGCAGTCAGTCACCCAGCTTAGTGCAATGAGAGTGCTAGGTAAACACGGTGGGATAACAGATGGGACCCCATGGAAGGCGCCGATAGATGAACATCAACAACCTGCAAATGCAGGCACAGGGGGCCCAGACCCACACGGCTGTGTCCACCTCCTTTGGGCATCTAATTTGCCATAGCTCCCAGAGGACACCTTTGGAGGTCTGGCCTAAATAGAAGCTTTTGCACAGAACTTGGTGCCCTCAAATCTCACTGCCATGAGTGATAGGAGGATGCCCCGATGTTGCAATTCTGGCTTACCTGGCTTTGCTGATGAAGCTGATGAGATTCCTGCACGCAAATGACCATTGCTGAAGCAAGGCAGATTGCAAACACAGGACAGTAATTGGCCAAAAGCAACTGTAATGGAATATTGTTATTTTATCAAGAGATTTCATCTCTTCTCACTTAACTCAGTGGCAAAATTTCCTCCTGCTTTCTGGGGCTCTGGATTTTGGTTTCATCATGGGGCTAGGAAGATAGTGAGATGATATCCACGGCCTTATCCTCAAAACTGACAGCTACTGAGAAAAACCTTCTTTCTTGTAATCTGGCTCTGTTATACTGGGATTAAGTTAAGGCGTGTAAGATTTCTACTCATGTCTAAACCCTGAATTTTGTGTGTGCCATATCACGGAAAGTTATGACTTGGCTTTCACATGAATAATACAGTCTGCTGCTCTTATGCATTCTGCTGCCAGCAAAATTGTCGTATTTTAGGATTTTATAAACGGATCAAAAAGGGTACCCTTCTAAAAACGTACAGTTTCGATTGAGAGAAAGGGTTCAGATTGCAGCTGTCCCCTGTTTGAAAATGCTGCTTGGAAGACTGATTATTTTACTTCCTTCTGGACCAAAGCATACCAATGCTCCCGTTTTTCTACAGCCCCCCCTCGGAATACCGGGCCCCAGATGTGCCTGGGAGATTTGCTTATGTTAAAAAAAAAACACAAAACAGAGAGCTGTTCAGAAAGGATCGATAGCAAGTGATCATTTACCAGTCTCCTCAGCCTTTTCTTTGAAAGCGGTGCTAAAATTTCCATTGACTTCAGTAAGAACCAGACAGAAGCTCTTATCTGAAAGTCAATGTGGCTTTGGTATAAACATACCAGGCTGGGATGCAAATAACCCGTGTTTTAATCCTGCGGTTTACCACTGAAATTGCACCTTGGATAAACCTCTTTTTTCCTAGTGCCTCAGTTTCCTCATCTATAAAAATGAAAACAAATGCTACTAATCTTTGTATTAAACTTTGAAATGTACAGGAATTGCAAAAGAACTAAGAAAAATAACAGAACATCTTTCTAGTTACCTCCTACACTAATCTTTGCTGCTGTTGTTGTGTAAATAAGTCTGGTATTCAAGGTCTCTACTACCCTGCATGAGAGCACCCTTAAGCAGATAAAACTCTGCCAAGGAGAAAGACTGAGAATACAGGATCAGGACCTAAATCTTGTTAATTCTCCTTAATCCACGCAGCTCGCACCACAGTGCTTTCTGAACGGACCTAACAACATGGACCAGTGCCAGTTCAGAGAGGTTTCTCCCCAGCTGCTTCCTTGCTGTGTCCATCTCCAGGGCCCGATCTGGGTGATACTCAGATCCGAGGGAGGCTTGCTGCTGGCTTTACTTTTAGCTCGGCTGGACCACATGGACCTGATCCTGTGTGCTCCAGCCTCAGCGACCGCTGGCAGGATTGGGTCCTATTTTCTTTTTTTCTGGAATATATATATAAAGTTTGTTTTTATCAACAGCCTGTGTATATGGTCAAATGATGATCTTTATCAAGAAGGAATGACAGAAAGGACACCATATATTAAGACTCTGGTCACTCCACCCAAATTATCTTTTGTTTGTTTTGCGGGCAAACAGCAAGCTTTTAAGGATTTTAATCCACAGCATTACAACCCACCAAACAAAAACAAGAAATGGGTTTCTCCTGGCAAGTCAAGTCAGCCTGGATTAAATCCTCCTGTCCAAAAGGGACTAGATAAATATTTTCCTATAGGAGTCGACACCCTCAGCCTCTCTACATGCTAAAGAGGCAAGTGTGGGTTTAATGGCTATATAGATAAGCCCTTATCTAAAGGATACAACACTTAGCTTTACAGTCCGCACACTTATTTACCAGTCGCTAATGGCTACCGGGTTTATGGCACTTGTGCCTCAAGCACGGTGCGAACAGCCCCGGTTATCTGCGGCGGGAGCACGCCGAGCCCGAGAGCACAGCCCTGCCCCAGAGAGCCCCAGACGGGGCTTTTGGGTGGAAACAAGCACTTCAGGGGCTTCTCAGAGGATGAAGGAAGGTTTTTCTCACGCCAGACGCTGCTTTAAGCGAGCAACGTGTGCGCTGGGCATTAAAATCACTGCGCAGGGGAGAGGCGGCTGCAGCTGAATTTCAGCTGCGTTTGAGAGAGCTGGGAGCTTGTTTAGATGTCTTGGGTCAAAGCGATCACAAAGGTGTTTTTTTTAAATTATTATTTTCTTCTTATTCTTCTTTTTTTTTTTTTTTTTTCGTGAACGTTTCTCTTTACGGAAAAGAAAAGCAGGGAAAAAAACCTCTGGACCCCTTCTCCCCGCTGCTGCCGGAGGAGGGATGCTGCCCGCAAAGGGTGGGAAGCAGCGCCGGGCCCCCCGCCCAGGTGATGTTTATGGCACAGAAAAATCCCAATATCCCGGCGTACAATGGCCACACTGTAAATACGTCCTTTCCCATCATGTAAGACGTTAAGATCGTTAGTTTTGGCTGGAAACAAAATATATTACATGCAAAGCGCTCTGCTAGCGGGCAGAAAATACACACTGCTGCTGTAATGTTTCTCATTATATTTCCCCTTTGTTCATAAAAATGACTGAGTTATTGCATAATGCAGGAATCAAGGAAGAGGGAAAATATATCATAAAGATGGAAACGAAGACAGCTTGTCAGTTATAAATGTAAATGAATGCTCGATTTCTTTTATAAAGCAATTTCGCTATAAAACTAATCGTCTAAGTAAAAAAAAAAATCCTGTTCTGACGAAGAAATAGTTCCTCTCCTCCACATTTAATCCAACCTTGAAAAATCTCCAGCAACTCGTCAGAGGGTTTTTTTTGCCTTTCTTGATTCTTGAATTTTCCCCCGAATTTTGTGTGCGTGCGTTTTATTAGGTTAATAAAACTTGGTTTTCAAGGTTTTGGACGCCTCGGGGGTACAATGAGCTCGGATGTCAAATGCATCAAATAGCTAATGAAGGGATTTCAAAGGTCTCCAAAGTGTCCATAGCAGCAAGTTGTAGCGTCTCATAAAGGTAAAGGCCATTCTGGCTACAGTGTGTTTTGTCTGACGGTTTTCCGGCTACTCCAACTTCGATCCGCTGTTTTATTCCGATTTTTATATCGGTTTGAAGTGCCCCACTCTCGCTGTCATAGGGGTTGTGATCAAATCGAGTCAAATCGTCATCCGCAAGCCAGCTCATGCCAGTAGCGCTCGGAAAGGGCAAACGGGGCGGGGGGGAACCCCAAAACGTATCGTGCATTACAGGGATTTACCAAAAAGGATCGAGATGGTAAAACGATATGGGGGAAAATCCTTACCCAAGGAAACATTTTACTATGTGAAGGTCTTGTTTGTGAGGAGGTGGGGGAGAAGCAGAACTGCTTTTTTGCTCTTTCTTTCTTTTTTTCTCCCCCCCCCCTTTTTAACTAAATCGTCTTTCTGGGGCTGAGCTCGGCGCGCAGGCGGGTGACAGTGAGGGATGGAGGGAGGCTGCGGTGGGTCCGCCGCGGCTCGGGCGCTGCTGCCCGCCTGCGCTCAGCTCTCCCCGGGCCGGGGCACTCCGCTCCTCCTCCAATATTTTCCCCCTGATTTGCTCTTCATTCCCCCCTCCCGCCCCGGCCTGGTGGTATTTTGGCAAAAGCGAAAAAACGAACAGCCCCCCCCCGCCCCATCCCGCATCTCCTCCGTGCGGGTCGCAGCTTCCCCCGGGATGGCGGGGTGTTTGTGTAATTCCTGGGCAAATGAACTTGCCGTTGCCAGCTTTCCCCCGCCTTTTCACAAATACAGAGCTCAATTAACATCGCTGCAGAGCAGTACCTTTGAACTAAGCTTCTATAATAAATTACCCGCACTCCCACTTGCAGATAGCGCTGCTTTCTTCCCCTCCCGAGACTTAAGCGGTCAGTAAAGGAGCTCTTGCGAACAAGGCCGGTGTCTGCTGGAAAACCTTGCTGGCAGCTCGCACTGTCATTTGTTACGAGCTCTTCTCGACTGCCAAATTAAAGACATCACCCATAAAAAGAAAAAAAATACAAAAAAAAAACCCTCTGCCGTATTT